CCAACCCCATAAGTTAACCCATACATAGTTAAAACCCATAGTAGAGATCAGAAGTTAATGTAGATAGAGGAGCTGGGCCGGTACAGAAGCCCAATTGAAAAGGAGATGATTCATTGAGGGAGAATCCTCGGAATCACCGACTCCGTAACAAGCCATCTCTGCATTGGAGAGGAAGAGAGCGAAGGGGAAGTCGTTCTGAAGCTCAATAATTTGTCTTTGATTAGTCGATTCAAGCTGGAGATGATCGTAGCCGACGACTCAAATCTTTGAGAGTGGAGTCGTTGGTTACGCTCTCGCCACAATAGGTACACCACTGCTTGCCAACATAAAAGGATGAGGCGCTTAGCATGCTTGTTCCCCGAGAAAGTCATCAGCTGATTGAGAGTGTCTTGCCAATCTGGTAATGGTGTTAGCGAACACCTTCTCGCTGCCTCCATCCACACTGCCCAGGAATAAGAGCACTTGAAGAACAGATGATCTCTAGATTCAAGGTCCTGGTTACATAACAAACATGCGCCGTCAACTTGCATTCCCTAATTGAGAAGACGATCACGAGTGGGGCACCTGTTCAAGACTACTAACCAAGCAAGAAAGTTGTGCTTGGGGATTCCTCTTTTAGTCCAAACAATATTAGCCCAAGGTACCTTTGTTTCTTCTTCTTTCAGTTTCCAATAGACAAGTGACGTTTTGTATTTCGGAGTAGGGGAGCCAGTGACTATCCATTCATAGCTGTCTTCATCCTCTTGAAGGGTCATAGTTGTTAATACCACTTGTATTTGCAGCATTATCTCCGATCGAGCTCGAGGGAGGACCCAATTTCCATTTCTGTTGAGATCAGCGAGCGTAGCATCGAGCGGAATCCCTTGCCTCGGAGCAGTGTTCAAATCAAAGCAGTCTTTTAGGGATCCCAAGGGGGACCAGTTATCAATCCAAAAGCGACAGTTCGCTCCATTACCCACACGCAATTTAATCCAGGTATAAACTTCCCCACGCATCTTGATCAGTTTATTAGCAAGCCAAGAATTAGAAGCACTTGTCTTCACAGTCCAGTAGTTAGATAGCGAGCCTTGTAGAATTTCCTCTTTGAACCAAGCCACCCATACTGAACCACCTTGAAAAAATAGCATCCAAATTAACTTGATACAACACGCACGGTTCCATGTACCCAAGTCTTTAATTCCCAGCCCTCCCGCATCTTTACTCTTTGTTACAGCTTCCCAAGAAACCCGTGCAGAGTGATGACCTTCAATAGAGCCTTTCCAAAGGAACATGCCACATAGTGAGTTGATTCGTGTAATGCAAGCTTTAGGGAGTAGAAAGTTTGAACACCAAAAGTTAGTGATCCCAGCTATGACTGTTTTTATTAGGAGTAGACGCCCTGCAAAAGAAAGAGTTTTGACAGTCCAAGAATTGAATTTAGCTTTTACTTGTTGAATCAGGACTTCACAATTTGCCAGGGTGAGCTTCTTAGTGCAAAGAGGGACACCAAGGTATCGCACTGGGAGAATACCATTGGGCATGCCTGTAGAAGCTTTGATGGTGTCTACTTCTTGTTGAGAAAGGCCGGACGCGAAGAAGGAGCTCTTCTGCACACTAATCGCGAGACCAGAGCGAAGCTCAAATTCCTTTAATACCTGGAGAACATTCTGGACTGAGTCAATGGAGCCATCAATGAAGATCAAAAGATCATCAGCAAAGCACAAGTGAGTTAGTTTTGAGGAAGAGCACTTGTGGTGGTATTTAATCTTCATATCGGCAGCTGCTTTGTTTAACATGATGGAGAGGATATTCATTGCAATGACAAAAAGATAGGGGGAAAGTGGATCGCCTTGACGAAGGCCACGGTTGCCTTTGAAATATCCATGAACCATACCATTATATCCGATAGTAAAATTAGTGGAGCAGACACAAGCCTTTAGCCATCCAAGGAGCAAGGGAGGAAGCTGAAGACCTTGAAGGCAGTTGAAGAGAAATTCCCATGAGAGAGTATCAAATGCCTTAGCGATGTCTACCTTGATGGTGATCCTTTTAGGTCCCTGCCTTCTATGGTAACCGTTGACAAGTTCCCCCGCCAAGGTAGTGTTTTCCACAATCAATCTATCTTTAACGAATGCCGTCTGATTTGGGACAATTAAGGACAGTAGAACCGGCTTGAGACGCCTAACAAGTAGTCTTGCAACTAACTTGTACAGGGTATTGAGGCAGCTGATAGGACGGAACTCAGAAACAAGAGAAGCTCCAGGGAATTTGGGAACCAGTGCCAAGATGGTTGAATTTGTAGATGACGGCATGAAGGAATGACTGAAAAAATGGGAGACTGCAGCAGTAACCTCATGACCAAGAAAGCTCCAAGAAGACTTGTAAAAATCTGAGGTAAGGCCATCCGGCCCAGGCGCCTTATTAGGATTCAACTTGAATAGAAGGGCTGTTATCTCTTCTGATGTCGGAATAGCAGTCATGGCTGGCAGGAGAGCATTAGGGAGAGAGTAGGAAGTCAACCTCCCAAACCAAGCCGGGGGGGAGTGAACCAGAGGATGGCAAACAATATCAGGACCCAAGATGTTACGAAAGTGAGTAATAGCATACAGGCTCATCATATGGGGATCCGATATTATTAAACCAGTAGACAGCACAAAGGATCTTATCGAGTTGTAGCTGCAACGAGTTTGGAAGATTCTGAAGAAGTATGCTGTGTTCAGGTCCCCCTCAATTAACCAGTTAATCCTTGACTTCTGTTTGAAGTAGCTCTCCTCAATGTTCCTCAGAAATACCCAGTTCTCATGGACACGTCGTTCCTCTTCAAAGGTAGCAGAGGAAGGGTGGTTAAGCGCTTGTACCTGCACAGACTGCAACAAACTGTTAGCTTCTAAAACCCTCACTTGAATGTTTGAAAATTTTTCACGATTTAGTTGTTTTAACACTCCTTTTACGCTCTTTTGTTTCCAGCTCAGTTATGTGAGATTCAGTGCCAGACTTCCGGCTTGACTCCATGTCTCAAGTACCATTTGGTGATAAGAGGGATGACGGGTGAGGTAATTGAAGAAACGGAAAGGTTTAGTACCAGCTAGGGGAAGAGGAAGTGCTAGGTCAAGGATACAAGGGCTGTGGTCAGAGAAGAGGGGGGGAAGAAAAGTCGCAGTACAGTGGGGGAAGATGGAGATAACATTCGAGTTAACCAGCAGCCGATCTAATTTTTTGGCTATGGGGCTTTCAGGGCAGTGGTTACTCCAGGAGAAATAGGGACCAAGAAATCGCAAATCAAAGACTCCAAGTTACGTTAGACAGTCGCGAAATTCTTGCATTTGAGGAGTGACAATATTGACTTCCATAAGAGAGTGTTCTGAAGGATGCATTATCTCGTTGAAGTCACCCCCTAAGACCCAGGGATGGAGATGAAGCTGATAGGTTTGCCAAATTTCAAGAAGCTCCACCCAAAGGTCAATCCTTTCAGCTCTTAAGTTAGACGCATAAACTGCAGTGTATATAAAGGGGGGATTATTAGGAAGGGTGACTTCACACGTAAGAGTTTGCCTTGTCTGATTCATGATCCTTACTCCAACATCATCTTTCCAAACTACGATTATTCTTCCATCTTCGTCAGATGCGTGGTTAGAAGTAAACTGCCAACCTCGACAGAGCTTAGACAAGAGGGGGGCTACGTTCTGATCTTTAACATGGGTTTCTAAAAGTACACCAAAAGAGGGTTGATGAATACGTATCCAATCACAAAAGGGGGTATGCTTAGCCGGGTAGTTTAAACCACGGACATTCCAAAAAAATAGTTTACTACACATTAAGAAGGGGGGGGCAGACTCTCCCACACGTAGGGAAGAATCCAAAGCGGCCAAAAGGAAAAATTGGTTAGAGGATGGAGGGTAGACAGGGGGTTTAGAGGCTGATGAAAAAAGAGACAGAGAGTTAGGGGGTGATAAGGATGGGTCAGAACGAGAACGCTTAAGGGAAGGTTGGTAAGTGGGACTAGGAGAGTTAGGAGGAGGCAGGAAGTTTGATCGAGAAAATGAGAGAGAAGAGGCAGAGAGGGAGGCTAGTTGTTTAGTGGTATTGGGGACATTGGTGGTTTTGGAAGGTTTAGAGGTTAGAGAAGGGGTAGGGTTGATTTGGGTAGCAGAGGAGGTAACAGAATAAGGTTCAGGTGTGGGGTTGATTACAGGGTTAGGAGATTTAGGTAAAGAGGAGGTTTCTAAAGTTGAAGGCGAGGCTGATGGAATGATGAGAGAAGGAGGGAAAACAGGGGGATCAGAAGGAGTAACAACTTCTGGGACATTAGCAGGGGCTTTAGGACGGTAGGTAGGGACAGCTGGGGCTTTAGGACGGTAGGTAGGAACAGCTGGGGTTTTTGACTTAGAAGAACCAGCAGGTTCATTGTTTTGAGGCAGAGGGATAAGGAGACAGTTTTTTGCAATGTGCCCAAGCTCCTTACAGTGAGAACACGTTGGAGGGAGCCAAGGATAGGTGACAAATACTTCAACAACTTCTCCAGACTGACGAGTGAACTCAACCACATCAGGTAATGGTTTAGTGAGATCCACTTCTACTTTAACATGTGAGAGGGTAAGGCTTACTAAATTCTTAGTAAAGTCATCCGTTTCTTTAGGTTCGCCAACAAGCCCTGCTACCAAGCTTAGTCCATCCTTGTGTCGCAGGTCTAGCGGAACGCCCATCAGATGGGCCCATATCTGAATAGACTTAAAGGAAGGAAGTTTTGACTGTCGGGAAGAGGTCCACTGCTCAGTATGAAAAAGCGAGTCACCAACATACCAATAACCTTTCTCCAGGATCTTTTGCTTTAGGTAGTCACTGGTTATACGAACAAGAAGACTCCTAGTCGAAGGATTGTTGTGCATTTCGAGTCTTCTCCCTTTACCCCACATATGGTTTAAAACGCTCTGAGTTTGACTGAAGGGAGGAGGTCTACCATTGAAGATACATACAATGAAATCCTTATGCATATCCACCTTTCTGGAATACAACATCAGGAATCATGACAGTCGGTCTTCCAGAAGCTGAGATGGTAGTTGGAGCAAGTCTTTCCAAAGATTTATCTTCAAATCTTCTAATCTTTTCAACAAGGGAGGGGATATGAGGGGATGGGGCAGGATTAATAGCCGGGGCGGATGGGTGATGGTTAACAGGCGGGGTAGTTGATGGTAGAGAAGGGTTAGGGTCTGTTACTACTGGAATAGAGGGCGATGGAGCAGCCGCCAGGGGAGCAGCTGCCACAGTAGGGGGTGGAAGTTGGGAATTGTCTAAAGAAGGTGGAGTATGGTTATTGGAACAAGCTTTGTTGGTTTGCAAGGGGGAGGAGGACTTAGGTGGTAAGATAGTGAGATTTTCCGATAAGGTAGTAGTATTTTCTTGGACAGATCCAGAATTAGGAACAGTAGTTTCAGATCTGGAAGTTGGAACAGTGCCATAGACAATTTCCAATTCCATTTCAGTATCAACAGGTGAAGAACGACCAGCAGAGGGCTGTTGGACAGTTGGGGTAGATTTAGTTGGGGTCACAGAATCAGTTAAGATAACTGAAGCTTTAGAACGGTTAAAACGCTTGGAGGGGACGATGGGGGACAGGATAGGGAATTGAGATAGGGGGAGCTGGGATTGCGGATCGGGAGGGTCAGGGGGAATGAGGTTTCTCTTATCACCGGTGGTAATGGACGACGGAGGCGAGGCGGAAGCGCGGCGGCCTAAATCCCACGGGTTCAACATCGGGAACTGAGCCAGAGAGCTTTTGACTTTTTTATTAAGTATATAATTTTTTTGCCTTTAGTTTGCTATCTCTTCATCCAACTTGTAGGTGTAACGCAATTTATTAAATTGTCATTGTTGCTTCCCACATCATATTTTTTCTCTTCAAAATCAGAGAAACAAAAATTTCTCATGAATTTTTTTTCAAACTTATTTGATAGAAAATGATTTGCAGAAAAATGTTTTTTTTTTTTGTAAAGAATGACGTGATTACTTTTGTATGGGTACTAGGGTTGTTGTGGACCTTTTTTATATAATAGAGACCAAGTAAAGTTGAGAGATTCTCATTTATACAATATAGAAATAATTCACTAATCTATAGATGGAAGATTAGAAATCATACACAATGCCACTTTTCCTTACGCTTGTTTTGATTATACAGGAGCAGGATGGTTTTTGATCCGTCTTATGGCAGAGGAAGGAGCGCCCTGGTCCAAAGGTATGTTAGCTTTATCCATGGTTGCTGGAGCCGGGTTTCATCCCGTTTTAGATCCGATCCGAACTCCCAGCCCAAATGCAATAAACCAAGTAAAGTTGAGAGATTCTGATATGACCTGAGAGAGTCCAAGAAAGAACGAAATGAGAAAGTCTCACACAACCAAACTCAATAAACCAAAGCAAAATGTAAAGATATCAAAGATTATCATAAAGATACATGATCCATGTCCAAAATTACGTCCGTTACTATGTTGACAATTTATCTCAAATCTATTTTGTCACTATTTGAAACCAATTATAAGACTTAAGTCACTATCCGACTGTCCTGTTTGATCCAGTTTTAAAAATACTGGTTTTAATAGATTAGATTTTAATAATATATACAGAGGTATATGTGTATATATATATATATATTAACACTAAGAAAAACTAAGGGTGAATTGGCCTATAATCCATAAAGAAGTTGGATATTAGGAATATGCCATGGTTTTGGGGGGAAAAATAGTGAGAGGGGGGGAGGAGAGATAAGAGAGAAAAATGGTAGATAGTTAATTTAGGGGTTTAGTTTGTATATGGGATGTAAATACTCAAAAACTAACACCAAAGTACAACACATATTGTAACAGAAAACCATTTAAAAAAAAATTACATTAATTCGAAACAAAATATAGCACAAAATCTAAATTACAAGTTTTAAAATTGTATATAATAATTCATTTTTCTATAATAAATTGAAAATTTATGTGCACGGTTTGGGGTCTACATCTAGAAAGTATATTCAATTTAAATTTTGAGGTGATTTGATTTATAATGAGGTTTTAAATGATTTCAATAAATTACAGAGTTTAAAGTGATTTTTTGTTAACTCTATATAATAATAATACACTTTTGAAGCTCCTCAGCGTGTCCACGTTAGCAGGTGAGTGGACCCCGCATGCATTTTAAAAGAAAACATAGTCTTGCTAAAATGATATCAAACAATGAATAATGTTTTATCCGAGTGGTTCAAGGCACCTCATTTAGTCCGCACGGGGGTGGGTTCAAAGGTCCTTGCTCTCTCATTTTTATGCATTTATTTCGTTTTTAAACCCACTAAAGTGGGACAAAACCCATGTCTCTCCCTTCCTGTTTCAAGATTCTTCCGCCGTAAACGCTTTCTGTTCCGGTGAAAAAATGTGAAACTCCTTGCATTCAACACTCGACTCATCCAATGCTGAATTTAGGGATTAGTGGTTTCCTTTGTTCGTCTCTTCCACTTGACGATTTCGCTGAATTTTCAGTCCAGAGACAAATGAACTCTTCACTCACCTCTTTGGCTCTCTTATCTTTCAACGTATTCCTCTTAATTTCGCCAATAAATGTGATTGTCATTTAACCCCGAAACGTTGTGTATCTCTCATTTTCCTCACCCCAAATCTATAAATTGTAGAAGGTTTAGAATTAGATGAATCTTTGCAAAGACTCTCAGTTAATCTTCTTTATAAACCGTAGAAAGAATATGTATGCTGTGAAGAAGCAGATGACTAACTACATGCTTCAGGACAATGAAAAGCATCAGAAGGTACTTTTTTAAAACCCAAAAAGATTTGATTCTTTACTCTTTAATTCAATGTTATATTTCTTATTAATCTTTCTTTTCTCTTCCTATTTTTGATTATGTCTTGTGGTGGTGGATCTCGCCCAACAAGAACCATCACCGTTGCGGTGGAGACAAACATGTTATGATTCCTTTTCAGTCAAAACAAGCTTTATTTCGATGAGCAGATCCGATCTGTTCAAGCTAACGTGAGCTCATGTTTTATTAGTTGATAGTTACTTGCATTTTTATATTTGTGAATTATAATACGGCGATTTATAAAATAAAAAGCTCGACGTTCATTTTCTGTATAGTTTAAGAGCGGGAAAGGAGAAAGACAAGCAGCAACATGATGATGCATTAAGACACAAAGCAATGAGCTACCACAACCAACCGAGACCAAAATCCACCGTGAAGCGGTGTTCGTTGACGGTTCGGGTGGAATTGGAGTGTTCTTGCCAGGAAGTCATGATACTGCTGTGGAGTTACGCAAAAATCCATGTTAGAGCCAACCAGTAGTTTCATATTAATTTAGCACTATTACTTCTTTTTTCCATATAAAATCCATAGTAAGTTTATTTTTGATTTTCTAAAACGAGATGTGATCTTAAAGAAAGTTGCATTTGAATATGACGAAATGGTTCAGGTAATATTCACAATAATATAGCCATTGCAGTTTTTGGACTATGATAGAAGAGATAGCAAAAGACCTGAATGCGGGAATCATTTTCCTGGTTGTTATGGCACAAGTGGGTTGTCTCTTGAAGGTTATTCACCTTATGGTCCCGTATGTCTGCTTAGAAGGTTCCCTTAGATGTTTTTTTCCAGCATATCAGTTCTCTGTTTCTGACTCTTTGGATCTGTGTTTCTCAGGTTAGTGGTAGTAGTAGTACTCCATATGTGGTCTATGGAGGTTATGCGTTTGCACGCAGTGGCAGTTCTGGGTGAGACTATTTCTTCCCGGATGTATTTATGACAATATACCAAGTATTTACCGTTTTGAACTGTGGTGGTTGATCCTTATCATGGGTTTTGTCACAGGTTATCCAGCCATTCCTCTACCCATCGACATTATTAGAAGCTAATGTTGGATGATTAAAAAAGGTTAGAATACGATATGATTTGCTTAAGTCCTTAAGGTAGTTTACGTAGCTATTTGCTCCAAGTTCATGAGATTATTTGATCTGGCTCAGTGTCAGATTCTAATACACTGATTTTTCCCCTTTGTGACCTTTTCCCCGTCCATTAAAACAGTCCCCACATCCCACAGCTGAAGCTTTTCCACAAAACAAGATGACAAAGCTGAACCACCAAACTCTACCTAGGAGAAGCGATTACATGTGGATGACATATTTAAGTTTGTTTCAAATATTTCCATGTCCGCTTATGACCAAAATACTTCTAATCTATTTCCCGTTAAACCATATTTAGCTGCCTGTAATGTTGTCTATCTATCTTCTTTTAGTTTAACTTGTCTTTCCTCGAGATGTGGTATTAAAGAAGGTTATGTATTTGTCCTAAAAAAAATTTTCCAAAAAAAAAAAGAAAAGAAGGTTATGTATTATAATGGACAACAGATAAAATAAAGACATATGAAATGACGTTGTCTATACTCTATATACTGAGTTACTTACCTACTTTGTTTTATAGGGGTTGACATAGTGGAAATCCTGTGTCTATTAGATTTAGTAATTTCATAAAATTGTAAGTAAACGCAACTACACAAGTAATCTCATAATCGTCTCTTTAGTATAACAAATAAATCACTGAAAATATTAGAGTTTGAAAAATAAATATATTAGAGTTAATTTTAGCATAAAATTTATCTGTAAATTTAGCATGCGTATTTTTTTCATGTGGCTGTAGGGTTGTTCAATCCGGTAAAATCGAACCAATCAAAACCAAACTGAGTCGAAATAAAAAAAAATGGTTGGATTTGGTAAATACTGAATACACCGAAAGAATTTTATTCTTAAGAAACCATAGTATATGAATATGGTTTACTATATATACCGATCAAACCAAGTAAATTGAATAAATCGATCAATTAAAATATAATAGTATAAGTATATGTATATATTATATAAGGTAACTGAAAAAAAATATATATATATATATATATAATTTATTGATATGATCTTCATTTTTAAAATGATGATTTTAGTAATTTAATATTTTATTTGAAGTTAAAATTTATGATTCATTTTTATTAAATTAAATATAACATAGATTTTTACATTTTTGATGACAAATATGTGGGTAAAGATTTAGTTATATATAATTACTAATTTTTATTCTATAAAAATTATTATAATTATTAAATTAATATGTTTACTAATTTTTTTAAATATCACAAAAGAAAAAAAATAAAAGAAAAACAGGATATTTAAAAACCTAAATATCTTCATGTTATATAAAATCTGATATCTAATTATATAAATTAAAATCCACAAAATATTTTAAGATAAATAAATTTATATTTTTGGTATATAACCAAATCAAGTAAAAACTGACAGTATATAAACTGAACCAAACCAAAGTAAATATGATCTTAATATGATAGCTATTTTTATAAACAGAAATATCAAAAACCAAAAATTAGAAAGCCGAACTGAAATCGAACTGATATCCGAATTCGAACACTCCTTTTTGTGGGCGACTATCTCTTGCTTAGATTGATATTTTAAAAATAAATTACAGGTAAAGTAAGGAAAATAACTTATTTACTGTTTCTATAATTTGTTAAATTCTAAATCAAAATTTTAAATATTTTTTTACACTATTTGAGTTGTATACTACTAAATATCTAAGTTTGGTGACTTTTGAACGATGAAACCAGTAATAACGCAAAATGACAATTAGATCATTATAAATATAAGATATATAAATATTTCGTTGGTCATTTTTATATCAACCTAATTAAGTTGTGTAAGTTTCATTCTTTCAT